AAGAGGAGTAGGAAGAGGGAGGAATGGTGGAACCGACGTTGCACGTTCGTTGTACCTCCTCCTCCTCCTCCTCCTCCTCCTCCTTCTTCTCTTTTTCTTCTTCTTCTTCTCTTCTTCTTCTTCTTCTTCTTCTTCTTCTTCTTCGTACCGGCGAGACCCGGAGCGAGACTAATAGATTGCATTCTCTATCTCCACATTCTCCGTCTCTCGAGTAAATGCATCTATCCGTCTATCTATTTATCTACCTATCTATTTATCTATCTATCCCTTTCTTCTCCTATCCCCTACCCCCCATCCCATTCCATCCCATTCCACCCCACCCCCCTTCTCCACTACCGCCACCTCCTCCTCCTCCTCCTCCTCCTTTTTCTTCTTCTTCTTCTTCTGTCTCCTCTCGGTCTTTTCCTCCATGCGTCTTCCTTTCTCGCACGGATGCTTCTTCTTCTTCTTCTTTTTCTTCTTTTTAAAGTCTTTTCTTCCTTACGCTTTAAAGAATCGACGAACCGATGGAAACACGAGATACCATATATACACCTAACCAACGTGATCTTTCGGAAACTCGAGAAAAATCGATGTCGAGACGCCTCGTCGAGGTCTTTTATCCTATCGCGCGAGGTTACATCGCAATGGATAGATACATCCAGCGTTTACGTTATTTTGATTCATTCCATAAGTTTTTTTCTCTCTTTCTGTATGTTTCTTTCAAAGATCCTATCCATCATTTTTTCAATAAAAGGTCCATTGTAGAAAACTCATGCGCATTGTACGAGACAATAATTTTCAACCTTTTGTGTTAAAAGATTCATATTTTTTTTTTTTTTTGAAATTTTTAACTTGCATAGGTTTAGATAATTTGAATTAATCGAGTAATATTGTCTATATTGTATAAAAAAAAAGAAGATGTCAACAGGTAGTAGTAGTGTAGTAGTAGTTCTTTAAGAGCTAGTGAAAGGTATTAGACGAAACGTGCTTACCGGTTTACGCGAAATTGACTGAACAGAGTCGAGGAGTTAACACGCCTGCGAGAGTAGCTCACGACGTGACGAAGCAGAGATCGTTAAACGTTAAAGCCTTCGCACGCCCTTCACAATAATGTGTAACAGATCGACGTGTTAGCCACGGGGATCAATTAACCAATTGGTTTCGATTTCTTAACTACTCGTTCGTATTAAGAGTTAACTTTTCGTCAGGCTTAGGATAATCATTCGAATAAATTACTGACATATATAGAATATTTTTGTACATTAATCATAACTTATCTAACGCGAAGAAAGATGATTTGTAGGTCACGCAGAGTATGTTTAAAAATGAATTTAAATGACACGAGCAAGTTGGTGCATCACGAGTGTAATTATTTTTTAACGAAGACGTTAATCTGAAATTTAAATGTATTTTTGTTTATTAAATCTTATTTATTATAAATTTCTATCGATCATATAGACACTTGAAATAAATACAAAAAATATATATTGCTTTTTAATATATCTAATATAATTATTATTTAAAAATATTTCATATTCGATTCAAATGAATGAAGTATATGAATAAAACAATGGGTAATCTTCGAGCTCATATTGAAGAGGTTACGAGTCGAAGTTGTTGAGTACGTGTCGATCGTCGCGTTCCATTTTCGGCAAGTCGCGTGACACCGCTGATCGATTCCGCGTAAAGCCTTCCGTTAAGGTATGGAAGCAAAGAATAAGAATAAGAATATGAAGAAGAGAAGAAAAATAAAAAGAAAAAGAAAAAGAAAAAGGAGAAGAAAAATAAAAGGTAAAAGTAAAGGAAGAGAAGAAAGGAGGTTGCGTAGTCGAGGTACCAAATCATCCTCTCTCGTTCTGGTTACCTTTCGATTAGCAGACGACTGAATACCTTAACCACTGGGTAGGGATAGGAAGGGAAAGGAAGGGAAGGGAAGGGACGGGAAGGGAAGAGAAGGGAGCAAAAGAAAGCGCTAGCCGAGGGTTACTAAGTCGAAAATGTATTCGTAAAGCGGGATCTTCTCTCGCGTGTCCCGTTATAACGTTGTCCAAGTATAGTTTGGCGCGAATGACCGAAGCCCATTTTCTTTTTTTTTCTTTTCTCTCTCTCTCTCTCTCTCTCTCCTTTCGTCTGCCCTCATTCTTTCTCTCTTATAGATTATCCCGCTATACGTACCACCTTTGTCCTTCGCCTTCTCCCAGTTCTTCTTCTTCTTCCCAATGATGTTCTCTAGCTGCTCCCCTAACGGATGTTCTCGTTTACTCTGCCACCACCCATTGTGTTTTTCCCACTGTTTTCCGTTTCCTATTTTCTTACCTATTTTACTATTTATTTTTCTTTTTTTTTTTTTTTCTTTTTTTTTTTTTATCGCTACATTATATCATTACTTACACAGGATTGGAAAACGATATGTTGTACATATTGGTTTTTGAATTAAATGTCATCAGCTGCTGACAAAAGCAAATGATCGTATTTATCGGTGTGTTCCAATTTTAGAGTGATAAAAAAAGAAACATTTATTACAAAAGTTAGTTGATTTTTCAATGGATACATACGTACGAGTACGCGGAACTGGGGGAAAAATCAACGCGGGTTTCTAACTGCGTGGAAAACATTTCCCAGAGTATTTCCGGCAACAGGAGGTGTGTTGACCTTTGTATAAGCACACGTTAGAGAATTAGCGCAGTGACAGGCACACCACGAGGTCTCTCTCGTAAAGGTGTTAGGTGCGAAGATTACAAAAAGTGGGAGTTTAGAAGTTGAGGGGGGGGGAGGAGGAGAAGATAAAGAGACAAAGAAAGAGGAGAAGGAATATGAGGTGGGGCTGTGGGAGGAGGGAAAGAGGTTTGAAATAGAAGAAGAAGAAGAAGATGAAGAAGAAGAAAAAGGAAAGACTACTCGGAACAACGCGGAACGGCATGGCAGGCAAGCAAGCAAGCAAGCAAGCAAGCACTCAGGCAGGCACGAAATCTTGGATGCGCCGGTATACTCTTTCTCTCTTTCTTTCTCTCTCTCTCTCAGCTTGTACTTTCACTTCCCTCCTCCTCCTCCTCCATCCATCCTTTTCCATCCCTCTTTCTTTCTCTCGCATAGAACTACTTTTCCTTTCAAGCCCTTGACTGAGGTGCCCGACCATGCCCATCTTGAATTTAAAGATACACCTTTGAAGTCATATATACCATATAGTAAAGAAAGAGAAAGATAGAAAGATAGAAAGATAGAAAGAGAGAAAAAGAGAGAGAGAGAGGGAGAGAAAGGCTAAAGTCGGTAGGATACAAATCCGTTTATATGTTCGTTCTTTCATCCTCTGAGGGCCGTCCTTACTATCCGTGGACTGCCCACGTCGTCGCGTGGGATAAATAGTTGCTCGTCCATCCGTACCTATTGCCCCTCGATCAGTGAACTAAGAGCGAGAGAAAGAGCTATAACCATGGAGTTGAAGTCGGTGGTCTTGGGAAAGGGGCAGGGGGTCGGAGAGGGGGAGGAGGAGGGGGTAAAAGGAGGATAGTGCTCGTCGTGACCTCCGCCTTGCGAGGAGCGCCGCGAACAGGACGGAAGAGGGAAAAGGAGAGTAGAGAGATCAGACACGGTAGGGTGTAAGACGGAAGGGAGGTAAAGAACAGAGAGAGAGAGAAGAAGAAGAGAGGTGTTTCGCGCGTGTGGCAACGCTTTCGTGCGAAAGAAGAAGCCGAAGAGGAGAACCGAGGGTTAGGGGAAGCGGGAGGAGAGAAGGTGAGAGGGGGAGGAGGAGGAGGCAACGATAGCGAGGTTGCGATAGCAGCAAGAGGGAGTGAGGAAAGGTGGGAGGGAGGGAGGAAGTCTTGACTCGGCGAGTGACGCGAACGAAGAGCCAGGAAAGGGTTCGAGAGGGAGCGAAAGCGAGCTGGGGTAGGGGTTGGGACGAGGAGAAGGTTGGGAGGGTCGGGAGGGAGAGGTAGTCCAGTCGAGATGATGCAGTTGTGCGTTTGCAAGGAAGGCGGAAGGAGGAACCGCGGAGGGAACCGGTCCCGGTCACTGGGCCACCAGCCGGCCGTCGAACCCGCCACACTGCCCCCTGCCACCGCCTCCTCCTCCTCCACCCTTCTCTACACAACCTCATCCTCCCCCTCCTCATCCTCATCCTCCTCATCCTCATTCTCCTCTTCTTCTTCTTCTTCTTCTTCTTCATTCTCCTTCTCATCCTCATCCTCATCCTTCTCGCGAACGCTTCCCACCGTGTGCCAACCTTCCTCTCGCCACTTCTTCTCCCTCCCTCCCTCTCTTCTTCCTCCACCTTCTCAACAACTCTCTACCTTGAAGTTCTTTAAACAATGTCAACTAGCGTGTACCCAGCCGATACTATGCTACTAACCATCGTAGTAGATGCTCGACTGTGTTCCTCCAGTGATCGATAACACCAGGTCTTCTCCTTTGGCAGTTGGAACCTAGAGAAAATACTTTTTTTTTTTGAGGATAGATAGATAAATAGAATATAATGTCGATTAATACAAGTTATATTTCGGATAATTAAAGAAAAGTGTTGATTTTATTTATTTTGGATTAATGTATGTATTATTTATATTTGCTCGGTTTCGTTTTGAATTTAATGAAAATAATAAGTCGTTTGACTGAGAAGGAATAATAAAGATACGAGATGATGTTTTGGAATATTTTCATAAGATTGCAAAATTATTGCGTACGGATATGACCGCCATTGTATTCGTCGTGTCGAACGTTTCATTGCAAGGAATTATTCACATGCTCAACTTGCTTGCTTGCTCGCTTGCTCGCTTTGCTTGCTTGCTCGCTTGCTTGCTTGCTTGTCGTTTAATCAACACGGTAGTCGCTGCTCGTGCAAAGAGAGAATGCAGAGGTTTGTTTTGGATCGGGCTTTCGATCGTGAGAGAACGCGCACGCTGGTCTGGTTGGTTGGTTGGTTGGCTGGTGCATCGCAAACGGAAGCGGGCCCTCTCTTACACCGTAATCTCCTCAAGATACGCCAAACATTTTCTCTTAATTAAGAAATGACGTGCCCGTAATTAAGTTTCCTTTCTTTCCATGATAAGTTTCACGCTTATGATTTGATTTGCACCTATTCTCGAATTTTCTTGTTGTTGTTGTTGTTGTTCTTGTTCTTGTTCTTGTTGTAACTCTAATCGAATTGAGAAATGGGGAAACGAATAATAATTGTTGATTTTTTTCTTTTTTTTTTTTTAGATATTTTACATCCTTCTTTAATTAGATTCATTTGTTTCGATTTAATTCGATGATATTTTTGTATGAGAAAATGATTGTTAATGTGAGATGAGAAGGATTATTAAATTTACGAGAAAGTTTGTTGATACGAAGAGAATACAAATTGTTTGATATTTCGTTAATTATTAATATTTATGTTTTCTTTTTTAAAATAATGCATTTGTTAATATTAAATTATTATAAATTTTTTGTTAATATAAGATTTAGGATAAATATGTGTGTGATTGTTTTTTTATCGTAAGAATTTTAATAAGCGCGGGGAATAAAAATCTACGTTATCGACACAAGAGAAAACATATCTCTTTTACGATACTTTAAAAGTACAAGTGTTATTGATAATGCAGAGTACCAGTGAGACAAATTCGAAAAGATTACCTATAAATGTTACAACATCGACAGTATATATTAAGAAAATGAAAGAGAACTACTGTATTAGCAGTCGATACAGCTCTGTCGATAAAAATTCCTATAAGAAAAAATCTGAAAAATTGAATAATATAGATAAACATTTAAAAATATTTTTCCACGATGATATTTATCGTTCTAATTTTTTTTTTTATTTACAAACGATAAAAAGTTTAATTACAATTTAAACGTAAACATTGTTATTTTTAATTGAATCTACCATTTTGCCAAATAAAAATTTCTTTATTTATCAAATACACAGTGTTCGGATCAAATATTTGCAGTGTATACATTTTCACAAATTTTATTTCTCGTAAAAAGATATTAATTAAAATTAATTGCGTACAAAATATTCAATTATTTTTGTTTATTCACTATGAAAAAGTATACATCATTTTTATTGTATTTTTTTAAAGATTAACAATATATTCACGATATAAAACTCATCTCTCTTTATCCATGGTGTTATTAATTTGATTAAATAAACATTAAGTAAACAAAATGTTACACAAGCTGTATATCAAAAGATAATTTACGTTTCGTAACAAGAACGATTGTGTATAAGAGATATGAATGTTCTTAAAAAAATTGTCTTGAAATATTTGACATAGAAAAAAAGTATATATGTAACAACAGACCCTTAAGCACAAGTGTTCAGACCTTTTCTTTGAACGTTCGGTGTACACATCTGTTCTAAAACGGTTACCGGTTCAGCGCAAGGGGAATATGGTTGACAGGGTTGACAGGGCTGACAGGGTTGACAGGGTTGACAGGGTTGACAGGGTGGTGGACACGTACCGCAAGGAGGAGTAATGCAGGGTACAGGAGCAGGTTCGCAGGGTATAGTGCATGATTGGTATGGTGGTATACATATAGGTTTGCAATCAACTTCGCAGACGTATTGCATTTCTGAAGGTGGATCGTTTCGTACGGTAAGACATTTTCCTTGAATCAGGTAGCAATAGGACAATGCCAATACGGGATTTCCGCTGTATGGTAGGTGGTGAGGATGCGGCAAATGACCGTTTATGTCGATATTTGTGTACTTTAAAGGCGAACAGCTGCAGACTCCGTGCTGTAATCGATATTGAAAATAAAAAGAGAGAGAGAGGGAGAGGGTGAGAGAGAGAGAGAGAGAGAGACTAAACATAGTCTTTAACATCGTTTAATAAAAATAAAAGCTTTCAAATCTATCATTAACGCCTACACCAAAACCGATTATCATTTAAAACAAAAACACATCAAACGAAACTTTCCACCATTAACACTAAAATATGTGATCAGTTTAAAAGCAATTCGTTCTAGCACCGAAACCTGAAATAAAGCGGGGTTTAAGATTCTGAGGAAGAAAAAGAAAAACAAAAGGATAGCGGAAAAATATAGGACAGATAGGTAATCCCGGAAAGGTTCTGGAAAGAGTAACTCGTAATCAATGTTTTTCATCTTTTTCGTCGCTCCAGGATTGTATAATTTTGTCGAGAAGAAATTTTTTGGCTAATGCCAAAATCGGCGAGCCTACTGGTTGAGATGGAAGATCACCGGCACTACCAGCTATGTCCAAGTGGCAGTATTTAAGTGGTTTTTTGGATTCAATACCGTTCTAAAAGTAATATTAGACCGTTCGGTCGTAGATAAGTATATAATGATAGAAGTATGAGAAAGTAATTTTGGATTATGATTGAGATTAGTTGAATACCTTGTCCAAGCCAGAGGCCATAATTAAAAAGGCCGCAGGTCCTTGATGACCTCTCTCCGTTCTAGAACTCGGTTTGTTTATCGCTTGCAACACGTCGTCCCCTTCCATGCGTCCCTCGTGAAAACGGAAATCCTCTCTGCGTATTCTGGATATCTCAAATGGGTCGCCTATTGTTTCACCTGAAGCTTGAAGCTTCTCCGCGTTGCTAACCAATTTGGCTACAGCGTTGTCCATGGCAATCTTTACGATAGTAATAGAAAAATCGTGTTATCGAAAAATATCATAATTTATATAGAGAACTATAATGTAAAATAACTAAAGTACTTACGGAATATCCGGTACCAGCTGATAATGGAGCATGACCGGTCAACGTAGCCACCGTAAAGATATGAGGATTTACCGAACAAAGTGCCATTTCTTTGATATGATAAAGTGCATCGGCCATAATCATTCGTCCTTCGGCATCCGTGTTACCAACTCGTACCCTCGCACCAGATTTCGCAGTTATAATCTCGTCGGAAACGTAAGCATTCTCACCGACGCTGTTTCTGACCATGCACAAAGCAACTACTACCTTCACCGTTGGTGGTTGTAAAAGATTCACCACCTGACGAATATTATTATTATTTCTTTTTTGTTTTTCTTTTTTTTTGTTTCAAATTAGGAGAAATTAATCGTAGGGTTTCGTTCGTCAAAAATTGTCTTCGTGATATTTTTAGAAAAAATTACGATATAAGAACGATGCGTTTGTTTAAAAAATATTATTTGAATGTATAAAAACCTGCATAAATCCTGCACAGGCAGCAGCTCCGCATTTGTCTCTGGACATTCCGCTCATGTTACCTTGACATTTAATGTCTGCCCCACCGGTATCGTAAGTGACACCTTTGCCAACGAGCATTACAGTTTCTAGGACACAAGCAGGATTCTGTGGTTCGTAAGTTAGGAAGATGATCCTTCCAGCGTGACGTGGTATTACCGAAGCTGCCCGATTAACGCACGAGAATAGAGGATACTCTTGAAGCAAGGTATCCTGATCGGATATCACCTGCATTGTAACGTTCGAACCGAAAAACAATTCGGCCACGTATTCCTCAACTCTAGGCGGTGCCATTCTCTCTGGATCAGCTCCACCTATTTTATAAATTCATTCATTTATTCAATTATTTATACGTACAAACAATATATAATCCAATATTTCTATTTTCTCTTTTTTATTTTTCCAAACTATTGAACAAATCAAATTTGTTATCATTGGTTTCCCCTTCGAACACACGAATGTACGAGAGTAAGAAAACAAAAAGGGAAAATTACACCGACCAGGATTGTTCGTTCGTTCGTTCGTTTGTTCATTTCTGTGCGGCATCGTTAAATCTTCCGATTGGATGCACTTTCGTCCGAATGCATTTCACGATTCTCCGTCTTTCTCTCTCATATTCTTTTGTATACTTCGTTCTCGCGCGTGTGCGAGAGCAAATATTTTTTTAGATTAGATGAAATCATACGCTGCTGACATACCTTGTCACGAACGTATTTTACACATTTTCATATTTTACTTTCTTCTTTTTCATAACGTAAGCAAATAAAAAAAAAAAACAGACAAAGTTGCAGGACGTTTAGAATTTTTCATTTATTTCTGTATCGATCAACTTGATAAACGTATTTCATTCGTATAAAACCATCTGTAGATTTATCGATCGATCCTAAACGTAATAAAACTTACATTCGGGTATTGTTTCCATTTCTAAGTCAAAAAAGATATATAACCATTAGAGAGTTATTATTTTGATTCTTTACTTTGGCAGCCGGTTGATTTCAATTCGGGTTAAATCCCAAGAGGTATAGTTAAGGTTTACTTTACGAAATTGCATTATTTTTTTCTCTAACTCTCTCTTTCTGTTACCAGAGAACATAAAAATAAAATAAGAAAAGGTTACGTTAACGTATCCGAATTGAAATAAAACACTTGGACTCGGTCAATCTTCTTATCATAGACGATTTCAACGTCAATTCAATTCGGAACAACTCAATTAACTATACAAATTGATGGTCATATTTTACGATCTGTTCGTTGAATAAAGAACAAATAACTTAGAATATTTGTCAAAGTATACTCAATCCTATCGAAGTTTTACATCGATTCGAGGATGAAAGAAATGAAATGTATATTTCATTTGAGAAAAAGAAAATGGAATCTCTATACCGTACGAGAGAGAAATAGAGAAAGAGAGAGAGAGAGAGAGAGAGTGTGAGATGATTGATTTCGAAACGAAACAACATTGAAGACGCGTATGAATAACAAAAAGAATAAGACAAAGTAATACAAGAAGAATAAGAAGAAGAAGAAGAAAACTCGATCGTTCGACAGAATTGTCTTCTGGCAATCGAGGGAAGGGATTTTTCCTGTCTCTTTCGTGTCTGTTGAAATTCCTATGGCGAAAAAAGGGAATCAAGAAAGATATATATATATACTTCTATTTCTTCCTTAAAGAAAGTTAGTTGGGGATTGGTAGGAAAGAAGAAGTCCATCTGACGAAGAAGGGATTTAGTAGTTGATGCGTTTGCTCTTGGCGATGTGACGGTGAACTTTGTTTCACCAATGGAAAAAGAAGAAGGTTAAGTAGAGAGAAAGAGAGAGATAGAGAGAGAGAGAGGACTTACCGATATCCCTTGCGACGAATCTGCCACTTTCCAAGGCTGAGGCTAGCTTCACGATACCCTGGAGCTTTTTACTGCAAATCGGACTCCAGACTGCCAGTTGACAGGCCTTGTAGCAACGTTCGGGACATATCTCTCTCACCTCGAGGGGCTGGAAAATGTAGGTGTTCTGAGTTACCCGTAAAAGAAGACAAAGAATAAGAAAAGAGAGAGAGAGAATCAAAGAGAAAGAGAGAAAGAGAGAGGGAGAGTTTAGAATGGCGTTCCGATTACGCGCCGTTGGGATTCCAAAGGCGTCTTCCGGTATTTGGAAAACGATGCATCCTATTCGTCCTCGTTTAGAAGGAAAGGAGAAGAGAGATAGTGGCTAGGGGAAAAAAGGCTACGAACCCAACGGGTTGCATCGTCCCTGCTAGGAGGGTTTGGGTATTTCGCTAATTAGGTCGCCTAGTCGGCCGCCAGGCTTCTGGAATGCAAGTTATTCGCTCGTTGCTTCTCCTATGAGACCTTCTCATACCTCTTTCCTATCTTCTCTCTCTCTCTCTTTCTCTTTTTCTCTTTCTCTCTTTTTCTCTTTCTCTCTTTTTCTCTTTTTCTGTGTTCCTCCACCTCTAACTCTTTTTCACCCCCTTCTTTATACTTTAGCTTTCTTTTGTTTGTTTGATTGATTCATTCATTCATTGCTTTCCTTCTTACTTTGTAATCTAAACGCGTCGCGTTTTAATTCTTTTAAATGATACTTATATCATTTTTAAGTTTAAGATTTTACTTTTCTTTCCCTTTTTCTTTTTTTTTGCTGACATAAAATAATGTTCGAACAATTTAAATTGACTCCGCTTGTTTATTGTGCACGCGTACGTACGTCAGGATGGTTTTGTGTTTTCAAATTGACTTTTCGAGGAATTTTTAGAAATTTGCTCAACAACACTACCACCCTCCCACCCTACACCCTACCACCCACCTATCGTTTAACCCTTCTTTGCATGATTTTCTTTTTTTTTTTTTTTTTGAAGTTGCCAGCAACAACAAATAAACAGTACAAGGGTTTTGAGTACCTTTTTTTGTTGACTTAATATTATGATTGAAATTTCCATCATCATGCAAAGAAGGGTTAATACAATTCGAGATAAACGCGAAAGAGAAGCATCTTTTAATTTCAAATCTTTTTTTAATTTAATATTTATATTAAAACGTGTGCCGGGGGACATTTTTAACATTTGAAATAATGTTGAATTTTGTTTTAAATACTCCTTTTTATAATGAGAAATGAAAACGGTAAGAATTTGATTCACTGTATAATATGATCCCTTGACAAAAAATGTATTCATGTATTTGTGCGTATGTGTGTGTATAATATTACATAGATTATTAAATTTCGAAGAGCTTTATAATAACCTGATAAAATATCATTGAAAAAGTATATACTATCGTATCACGTTCGACGATTCGTATTAATATTTTCTATTATTTTTATTACATTTTTAAAATATATCAACATATTTCTCTTTAATTTTAAAAAGAACAAAATTATTATTATCATAATGTTTTTTTTTTAATTAATACGACCATTGGTATATACGTTCTAAAAAGATTGAATATTTTAAGAATAATTCGATAAAGCGAGAAGGTTGGTATTAGTTTTTGTAACATAGGAAAAGATATGCCATGCAATTTGTCTACTTGTACCTAATCTATCCGATATGCGGGGCAAAGCTTTGCAAAGTGGGTACTTGCCCAACTCGGTTGGAGGCAAAAAGTTGGGCACATTTTTTTTCAACGCGTAAGCACCACCCATTAGTAAAAAAGGCAACATCCTCGGGGATGGAGGAAGGGGGAGGGGGAGAGAGGGAAGGGAAGAGAAGAATAATGAGTTCTTAAAAAGTAATCTAACGTTGGGAATAAATAATTTGACGGCGTATAACAATGTTTAATATCGTCACGTATTTGAAAGAATCTTTTTGAAGAGAAAAAAAAAAGAAAAAACAAAAACAAAGTTTTCATTACTCTGCGAGTAATTATTTATCTGACAAAAATTTCAAATCTCAGTTATTATGTCAGGAAACTTCCTAACGGAGGAGGAGGAGGGGGTCGTGTGCTGTATTAAGATAGATTTGATATTTTAAAACGAAAAAAAAAGAAAGGAAAAGGATCGTCTCTCCTTATCTGTTTCGAGTTGGTAAACGGGAAGTAATACGATGTTTAAAAAAAAATAAAAATGAGAGATAGAGGGTGAGTAAGAGCTTGTTGAAAGTTTAGCGTAACCACTCTGGAGGCTTTTAACCGTGCAGTGAATTTTTGCGAAAGTTTACGAGTAGTAGCTTATGAAAATATGCGTGGGCCCGTTATCTGTGAGGACTAATATTTGCATTTAGTTCATTTAAACGTGACCGTGCATTAAGCATTCGACATTCGTAACTATTCATTTCAGAATAATTGAAAAATATCGAAGGGGGAGGAAGAACCCCGAACCACCGCTCCACCCTCTGCCCCCTGCCTCATGCTCCCTGCCTCATGCTCCCTGCCCACCGTTCAAGAAAAAAAGAAAAGAAATGTTACTCGGTAAAAATAATGGTTGCTTCCTTTTGTTCTTTTTTTATGTTTTTTTCTTTTTCATCGGAATAATTCAATTTGAGAAGATCGAGAGGGATCTTTCAACGCTCGTGGAAAGCGAAGTATAAATGGTTGGACTGAAAATAGTTGCATTGCTATGAGAAGATGCATTTCTAGTCATCGGTTAATGTCACGTGTGCGATATGCCTTAGGATCTACGAGTTTACAAGGATAAATGTCGAGAGTGAAATAAGAGAGAGAGAGAGAAAGAGAGAGAGAGAGAGGAATTGTAACTCGGATCTTCGGACAGAGTTCTCCCTGAATTCGGTTTGCTAAGCGATAGCAATTCCTTAGAGATATACTATTACTGGCTTTTCCATTGTGCGAACGCAGCTGCATAGACGATTGCATCGACGGGTTGCACACCGACGGGTTGCATCGACGATTTTGCCTTGGACGTTTGAAAATGATTTTCCTTTTGTCAATCGGTAGACACCGTAAATTCGAGTAGGAGAGTATCGTTTCTCGTGAAAATGTATATTTCTTATTGAGTTTATTTTTTCTTCTTATTATATTCGACTAAAATTTTCACCTATATTTTATTTATCTACGAGTATATCGTATACATGTGAATTCCTAGTTTTTTTTTACTATCATTATTTTTGTTTATTCTTACTCGTCGATTTATCGTTTATCGATTCTTGTTCTTGTTTAATTCTTATTAACCCATTCAGTTATGAGTATTTACAAGAAGACGGTCAGTAAGTCCCACTTCAGATTTTTTTCAAATTTTGCACACTTGTAGTACTCCATGAGAAAATTCATTCTTCGTATTTTTTTGGCTGCAGTAGTGTAGTAGCTAGCTGTGTATGTATTTTGACTTCGCTTATTTCTTTTTTACGTTATTGTGAAGTAAGCTTAATAAATTTTTTGTTTATTTTTTCAAGAGTGTTTTATAATAATTTTATAGGAAATATAACTTGAACCTTTGCAAATCAATTTATAACTCTCGATAAGGTATTTAACACGTAGGAAAAAGAGAGTACTTTAATTTAATATAAGAGTCATTAAAATCTTAGTATAAAAAATATTTGCCGAAACTTTTCAAAGAAATATCAGAGATTGTAATGTTGTAAATTGTACAACTTTGTAATTTCTTCTGCAAGTGTGCAAAATTTGAAAATAATCTGAGATGTGACTCACTGACCGTTTCCTTGTTAAAAGTGTTTAGTAGGGATGGAATTAGTTTATTATTAGTACGATTGTTTCTATTGTTGATTGATATCGTTAAACTACATTCTAATATAATCAATTATATATTTAATGATTAAAGATTTTTATTTTATTAATATAATTTTCATGTGACAAAGACTCAAAAGCAATAATCAATAAGCAAACCGATATCTAATATATTATTTTATATTGATATTTATTATTATAAATGAAACAACAGTCAAAGGGTTAAATCGATTGTAAAAAGATATGATCAAAAAAATGTTATTAGTAAATTTAAATTATTCTTTTAAAAAAGATGTATAGTACTTACCACGTAAAGTCCTTCCAAAGCACCAAGCAATGTCACCAACTCGACATTTTCAAAACGTACGTCAGGTAGTAAAACTAGCAACGGACATCTCACCCCAGCTTTTAATGCTCTGACGAACAAAATCGATTTAATTAGATTTTCTTGGCTTCTTTTTTTCTTTTTCAAAAATATGTTGCTTTTTATTACACCTTACTCTTAAAAATAGCGAATCCTATTAAAAGTACAAAAATCTATCTATCTATTCACGTATAATGAAAATTTTAATACTGATTATTTTACTTGATAAAAGGTACTGCTAGACTGCAACGCGATTAAATTACAACGAGTATTAAAACCTTTGTGTGTGTGTGTGTGTGTGAGTTCTCGTTAAATATTAAATATATTTTAAAATATAATTTATATATATATAATTATATACCATCGAGAGACGATTCATTTTCTCCTTTTCTATTTCTCTCTTTCTGAATACAAATGTAGAATAATAGAAACTAAATTAGAAGATAACGATAAGGATAATTAAATATGTTAAAACGATACGAAACTAAACTAAAAAAAAAAAAAAAAAAAAAGAAAATAAAAATTCGATTTCGATGTAAATCATTTAAGACGAGAAAAAAATCTTTACCAGATACCTCGCCGTCATTGAAGTTGTTGGGGGGAAGTGGGGTAGAAGGTGGTAGGGGGAAGGGGGTAGTAGGAAAAACGATATCGATTGACATTACTCACGAGTTTCCTCGATTTCTCTAAACCACCCATCTATCCCCCTTCCCTAACTTCGAGGGGGTGCGGGTTGGGGGGAGGGAGAAGAGGACCAGGAATTTCATTTTTCAAGCAAATTTCGCGAGAATCGAAGGAACGGATCGCGCGGAATTTTGTCCGCAGCCTTTAACGAATACACTTGCGTTTTAAATTCGTGGGAACGTATTACTTACACGGATAAACGTTTCTCTTTGTTATTAATGCAGTAACGCGTTGTCTCGAAAATGTATATACACACACATACACAAATACACGCAAAGATAAATGTAAAATCCAATATACGCGAACGTAAATGTGTAGGAAAATGCGAGCAATCAAAAAGAAAAAGCATGAGCTTAATTTTAATATTAATATAGTTACTCGAACGAAGTATAAGTTGAAAAATCAAATCATCACGAGAAAACGTGATAACGAAAAAATCACATTAATTAATTAATTATTATAAATAAAAATGCGGTTTTGTGCATGAAAATCCCGCGACGACGACAACGAAGACATAAATAATCAATGCGTTAATGTAAAAATCGATTTCTCCTTATTTCTCATTTTCATTTTCTTTTTTTTCTTTTTTTGTTCTTTTCATTTTTTTGCTTTTTTTTTTTTTATCAGAAACGAAGAGAAACCACAGCAAATGCTGCGACAATTCGGAATCTACGAGAAACAGATATCTCGTTCGGGTTTTTTTTTTTTCTTTTATTATTTTGTAACTTGGTCGACATGTCTTTCTTCTCTCTTTCTCTCACACGTAGACCCGGATTTAATTATCTTCGTTTTCGTGCTAGAAAGAACGACCATTTTTCCCTTTACCGACCGACCGCACGCCCCACCCCACCCCACCCCTTCTCCAGCGTTTTCAATTTCCGCGTTACGCTTGGACACGTTTGGACAAGAGTTGGAACCCTGTCGAAAATTTTCCCTGCTAATCTGTAAATATTAAAGGAAAGAGTGAGAGTGAGAGTGAGAGCAAGAGAGAGAGAGAGAGAGAGAGAGAGAGTGAGAAGTAAAAAAAGACGGGGAAAAAGAAATTCGTTGAATTTTCGTAACGATAGTTAAGAACAATGTACCGCAATGTTTTATCGGCTGGTTAAACCCTTTTTAAATGGTTTGCACGTTGGCACTAATTCTTGCGAATAATGTCGCGCGTGTTCGAGGAAAGAAAAAGTAAAAAAAATAAAAAACAAATAAAAGAAACCCCTTTTCTTTTTTTTTTTTATTACCTCAGCCCCTTTTGCTCGAAAGTCACGAGAAGAAATTCCTTTGAAATGATAAATGAATCCCTCCTTCTTCTTTTTTTTTTTCTTTTTTTTTTTTTTCTAAGCTTCCGCATACGCGTGCAATTTTAATTGCATAACTGGAGGCAACAGATTAATTGTGAGACGTACGAATTTCGACCTTACCCTCGGTCATAAAAAAAACAAAAGAAAAAATGGCAAAAATACAAATAACGCGAGGATAATAAATGGGTTTTTAATGAAATAACGCGTAGTTACGAATTTAATATCTCGCATAGAGTGGTTTTTGTTTTTTTTTTTTTTTTATTATTATTATTATTATTATTTTAACGTCCTCGACGATCAGGCGTTAAGAGAACGTATGAATTTCAATCGAAATTCTTAAATGTACGTGGAAATAATGTATATGGGGGTTAGGTGTGGGTGTAGGAGGGGATTGGGTAAGGGTTTTAAACAAATCAAGGAAAGAGAATAAAGACTTTTAATCGTTGACAGTGAACACCGTATCGTGGTCATACCACCGCGTTTGGTTTAAATGGTTAACGCTTTTAAAGTGATCTCGGTGTACCAGGAATTAATGGGGAATTTAGCTCGCGTTGTACGCGAAACAGAAATAGTTGTCTTCGTTGGACACATTCGTAAATTTTGTAGATATACGAAAAAAACAAATATAATATGTATCGCATTTATCGTGATCTTTTTTTAAACGGCAAAACATCTTCAAGGATAATTGTAAACCTATAAGAGCGCGTGTATAAGTTATTGGTTACGTTTAATATACAATGACAAAATGATTCACCAACGTTCGTTGTATTTTTCAATTTGTTTTTTTTTAACTCGTTTTAAAAAAATGTCAAATATGACGTAGAAAATAAATAAATTTGTTTATATTCAAAGTAATTATCGTGGAAACCTTTTTTTTTTATATATATATATAATACAGCGTAATAATATATATATATATATATATATATATATATATATAAGAAAAAACAAAAATGTATGTTCTCGAACGGTCTACGAAGTTTTTGGGGAATTATTTTACTCGCATAGATATTTCTTCGCGTTATCAAAAATAAATACCAAACACGTGGAATAATTTTCTGACCTATATATAATATTTTTTTTTTTCAAGAGATACGCCAGCGACATACTAACCCACATTCAATCTTGAAATTTACGCACCAAGCTTGAATTATCATCCAAAATAGTTTTCCTCGCTCGCTTTGCCATAATTAAAAGCTTTTTCCTATTTAACGCATTTTCGTACTATTCATTATCTTTTCACTGAAGTTTGAAAACTCGATTTTTTTTTTTTTTTTCTAAAAGAGCATACATAAATAAATTTATCCAATTGCACTCTAAATTCGAGTGAGCGCGTACGCGCGCGCGCGTGTGTGTGTGTGTGTTATCAAAACAAAAAGAATTGTAAAGACGTAACAATCAAACTTTATTCTCCTTTTTTTTTTCAAAATATTTAAAAATAACTACTTGTAAGAGATAACGAAATTATCTCTTTTTTAACAAGAACATAACATTTCAAACGATCAAATGTTTTAAATATATATATAATATATATGTTACCGTCTAATTCTTCGGTATTCCCATCAAAGCAAAGCGCATTCCGATGAAGTCGGAAACAGACAAATTCTTAGAGTTTAAGATATTTACCGAAACTTTTGAAAAAATTGGCAAAGTAGGAAAAATTTGCAGCCTCGCATTCTTTGCCATTTTATAAACCTTTTCAGATTGATTTATAACACGATATGGTATTTTACGCGTAGACAAAAGAGTGTACTTTAATTTAATATAAGTTTCATTAAAATCTATTCACTTTTAGTATAAAATATATTCACCAAAACTTTTCAAAGAATTAGCAAAGATGCACAATTTACAGCATTGCATTCTCTGACATTTTCTGGACTTTACATGCAAAATTAATATTACATAATATAATAATTAATATTAATAATAATAACAATTAGATAGAAGCAATTTTATAGTTGACAGTTTGATAATCAAAATTAACATAAAGTCTATTTTTAATAATACCGATTAATAAGCATTGCCACCAAATACACATACGTATTTGCGTTAAATACGAATTATTATTATTATTATTATTATTAAAACAGGATCAATTTTGTTGAATCAATATCGAAGAAGAAAATCATTCGTAAACATTTATTTGCAAATGTTTCGATAATTCATATTCTAATTCGTTCTAATAATGAATATTACTTTGAAAAATGTATACCTTACGATACCCTTCGTAGCAGCCTCACTGAAACTTCGTACATCGTGATAATCCATGTTGAGTGGACCCGTTGGACTATAAATGAGTCTTTTCGCAGGTAAATTGATCGGTAAGACAGCACCGATTACGCCAAGGGCAGAATCGATTTGTGCTGCGCTATATAGAACCGTTTTGAACGGTTCTGGTTCATCGATACCAGGTGCATTACCTGACACCAGGATTATGCCATCGTAATCGCAGCTACAAATGTTCGATTCTATCTTCAATTGACAGGGCATCCATCTAAAACAGATTGTCATCTTATCAACTGTCCAAAGTAAATACTCCTATATATGTACATATATTATACAGTAGTTGTGTTGTATATAGTAACACGACGATATATTATTCATGAAAATAAAATGGAATAATTGTTCTAAGAGTAATATATGTTAAAATGGGAATTAACTGTCGAATGTAATATTGTCGAATGCATATCGATGCATTCAATTTAATATTCATTCGTAGATAACGTGATTTATTTTTTTTCTTTTTTTTTTCTTCTTTCTTTCTTTCTTTCTTTTAATAAATATGTAAAAATAATTCCTACAAATCGCGTTATGCGTCAAAAAGTTGCCCGACGATTTTTTCACTCCTAAATATATATATTTTTATTATTTTTTTATTATCTTTTTTTTTTTTTGGTTTCATTTCTGTGACCGTATATTTCGGTAGACGCAATTTTCAGACAAATCGCATACGACACAACCGTGAACCTTTTCGAACAGATTGCATGCGAACGTTATTCTCGAAATTGTATAAAAAATTATCTTTCTTTTTCTTTCTTTTTTTTTTTTATCTTTCTTTTTTTTGAAACTGCTATATTTTTTAGACAATACGGGCAAGAGTCGCGTATCCAATTTCAATTAAAAGCGTTGAAATAGGATGGCGAAAGATCGTTTTCACTCGAAATCAAATTACATATTTATAAGATCGAAGAAAAATATTGAAATATTTTTTGGTTTTTTTTTCGAATAGTTGCAATTTCGAGCTTATCAAAGTGTGACGATTGATAGGACGAGAATAAAACGAAACTGGTTGACGTAGATAATAATTGAATTTATTATTCATTTGATATTCCTCTCTCTCTCTCTCTCTCTCTCTCTCTTGCATCCAAAGAGTTCCATTTGGAACGATGACACGAAATGATAACTATACTAACGTTGACCGATTATCGAAACGTTTTCTGTTCACAAAATAACGATGGTTCCCTGCGTGTGTGTGCGTGTGTGTGTAAAACAGAATGATCATCTCTCTCTCTTTCTCTCTCTCTCTCTTTTACCCGTTCGTTCCTTTATTTGACTGTTCGATTTTGCAATTTCTCGTTTGCGGATGAGAAACGAATGTCATGATTCGAAATAGCAATGAGTTATTGTCGAGTTTTGTCCCCCCCCCCCTCCCCGCATACTCGCTATATTTAATATTCGGTACGTAAATACTGAGTTATGTTAGCTTAAACGCGTTGCAGAAACGCATTGTGTGTGTGTGTGTGTGTGAGTGTGTATTCGTCATCCAACGAAACTTCGGTAGTAAAACGAATACGACGAAAAAAATAAAAAAAACCCCATGGAAAAAGACAACAGTAAAAAAATAAAGAAATAAAAAAATGCTTCTATTCGAATTGAAATATTTACAATCGGAACTTTGTGTGTGACGGAAACGAGAGTAATATCACGTCCAAATGAAACCAAATATCGATAAACGTGTATTATTACGCACAAAAAAAAAAAAAAGAAAAACAAAGGGAAGGGGGAGAAAATATTTCATTGGCTTGAAAAGAAGTGAAATTCATAAAGTACATTTCTTCATTTGAATATGTAATAAACGTGATTCAATAAACGCCAACGTTAAAAATATATGTTAACTATTTATCAAATTATAATAGTTTCGCAGATAGTATAAGTGCAACTTTGTATCACAAATTTTAATAAATATTTGATAAATATTTAATAAAATAAAAAAATGTTTCAAAAATACTAATATAAAACTAGTTTTTTATAACTTAATTAAAA